ATTTCGAAGGTATTAACGAGACGATTATAATGGTGTAACTTGTTCAAATAAAAATGTATTTTTTAAACATGTTTTATTTGATATACGATTATGTATGTTAATTTGATAAAGGTTTAAAATGAAACATTTAAAAGTAAATGATGTAAAGTAATTAATTAACTAATTATAGGGATATAAAGTGTAAATTTAAAATTATAATTTAAAAAAATCGTTGAATGGAGAGGTGAATGTATGTGAGGGAGTGGGTGTATGTGAGGAGAGGAAGGGGTGAAAAAGTGAAAAGGGCATCTTGGTCATTTAGAATTTTAAGACTTTAAGACTTTTGATGAATTTGCTTAATAAGATAGTATAGATTGGTGTTAAGCTGTTTTTTAGTGTTTGGATAAGAAAAAAAAAATTGTTTATACCGATGTTAAATCGGTAATAAGCTGTTTTTGATAAGTTAATATTTTCTGACTTATGAAAAATTGTTTATTACCAATTTACAATTTTAACCATATTTTATTTAACTCCGATTTGATACCACATAAGTTAATAAGCATTTTTATAAAAAAAAAAAAACATATGTTGTTTTAAATAAGCAATCTCAAACACCCCCTAAATTTTGTTTTATTCTATGACACGTTGATTTTCTAGTTTGTTGTGATTTTAAATCAAGTATTTCAAAGTTAAAATATTTCATTGGTCAAGTGTTTTGAAATATCTGTTGTTTTGTTTTAAAATGTATTAATTAATGGTTTGTAGTTTTTACAACTTGTGATTGAAATATAAAATGCAATTGTGTTTGAATCTAAATATATAAATGTAAATAACTGATAAAGATGATTTGTGAAAAAAAAATACCTCAAAATGCAAGATTCTTCTTCTTCTTCTTGATGTACGTGACCTCGTGTATGTATTCCAAGACGACAAGGATGAGATATTTCACTTCATCTATGAGAGCAGGTATTCTAACAGTATGTCATGGTTTCATAACCAACTAGTTGTGTATCCACGCAATGCGGCGGGAGCCGTGAATTTTAACGATTTTAAAGTTTCAATGGTTTTATTAGAGAAGATTTAATTTAACGATTATGTAACTTACAATTGGTCTTTACATGTTAATATAATTTGAATAAATAAGAGTTATGATTCCAATTACAGTCTATCGATGAAAAAAAATTTATGACAGTCTAAAATCCAACATATATAAACGACTCCACAAATATATTCAATTTACACCAAGAGCAAATAATCAAGAGATCGAGAATGAAATTCTAGAACAATTGAATGAGATATGCTAAAATGTCGTATTAAGAGGTAAACAAATAACCCCTTAGATATATTAAACCTATTAAGAAATTAAAATGACGTAGATTAAATCTTTGAAGTCTCTACTTACCACTTTCTTCAATCTTCAAAGAATTTCCGTATGACTCTCATTGTACGAGAATAAGAGCATGTACCTACCTATTTAGGGTTTTTAGTTTTTATGTTTCCGTTTAATGTTTATTTATGTCTTACGTGTTATACATAATTATCATTATTTCACAAATTATATATTTAAAAAGATAAAAAAAAACCAAAGGTGGTGTCCAATTAATTTAAGTTTGGCCTCCAAATGTCAAAAGTGCCTGAAGGTCCCAGGTTTGAATCCAAAGAGGAATAAAAAATCCCCTTGTGGCCATAGAGATTCAAATACGGTGACTTTGGGCTACCCGCAAAGCCAGTGGTGTCATGTGATTAGTCGGTTCGTATAGCGGGTTGGATATCCAAGTTAATTAAAAAAAGATAAAAAAGACCCAAGCCTTACAAAATAATCCGTTGTAACATGCCATAACATGCAATATCGTATTACCATGAAAACAAGTCTTGGAGTGGAGTTACAAGGGTTAACATAGTGACGAAGCTAAGGGGTTGTTTGTTTATCTCTTAATAATTTCATTAAAAGGCTGCCTCTGAATCGTTAAGGGATGAATCTTGTTTGGCAAAAAAAAAAAGTCTACCTCTTAATGGTTCTAAAATCCTCTTAACGGTTTTGCATCTTGGGTATTCCTTAATTATTCAGCGTCCTAATTTCATTATAAACAATTACCAAACAATTATATTTTATTTTACACTATATCATGAGAATCTATTAATTATTATAACTATTTAATTATTCTGCACTAAACCATTCAGTAACTACCAATTCGATATCATAACGTTAGAATTTAGATAACTAGACCATAACCAGTTATTTAGAAACTGGGCTCACTGTCAGTTATTTTATTTTAATAGGCCCATCCAGTGTGAGAAATTCAGAATTGCGTACAGATCAGCAAGGAGGCCTCGTCGGCGACCCAACTCACCCTTTCCGATTACAATTTGCATCCGTCCCGTGTGACGTATTCCGCTGAAAGCCTTGAAGCCCTCAACGACAGCCGCTGTCAATCCCTGAACGGCCTTTTCGGGTAATCGGTAATAGTTTATTCACTTATTGCTAGGGTTTGCTTTCTTGTTACTAGTCTCCAGTTGAACTAGGATTTCTTATGAAAGGAAATAAGTGGTACTTTTAGGATTTCAATGAACTGCTTTGAAGTTWATCTATATAATCACAGACCTTTAACGGGTTCTCTTTGCTATTCTAAACTAATCAGATTCGGCTGACCAGAGAACCTTATTCTTGTAGGTCATTGTCTTGGACATGTAATCTACTTATCTTTTCTTAACGACCAAAGCCCCTTTTAACTTTTTCCCCATATGAAGATCTTTAAGTGGTGAAGATTACAAGTGTTTCCAGTTAGTTATGTACATTTGCACAGTCAGTTGCATTGTAGGAAAGTATAGTTATATAGTTTTTTTTTGCGGGTTTCCATTATTATGCTTTCAGGCAGTAGTTCGGACATAACAAAAAAGTGGATGAATTTGGAGTTTCTCCCACAGTTAACTTTTCTTATAGGGATGATTTTGATCTTATCATGTTAGTAGTAAAATTGCATCATCTACAATCTGTATGTTGTGATTAAGCTGCATTGCAACATTGTTTGGAGATGTTATTCATGTGATGGCCTGCCATGTATTCACTGTTTTGCTGCGACTTAGATGCACATACAAAAAGAAATAAGTAGGAAAAGATAAGAGCCAGAGACAGATTTAGATGTGGTTCGGTTATTCTTTTCTAAGGCTGTATAGGAAAGAAGAGGAAATAACTTCCAGTTTTTTTTTTTTAGCTTTACTAATTGCAGGGGAGAAAGATGCAATGCTTTTCGAGTATCTACTTCTATTGTTTTATCATGAGAATTTATCTGCTCTTTCCATTTTCTCTTCAAAAACTTGACATATGTGTGAGGAAGCTTTAGTATATGGTTTCAATTTTTGGGTTGGTTTAAAGCTGGCTATCTATTAAGGTGGGGCCCTCAATGTCAGAAAAGATCTCTTCGTGTTGGATTTCTGATTTTCTGGCAATGCTTATAAACTTCAGTGGCTTTTTGGTTTCATTCATGGTTCTGTATTTCCTCTTAACCATGAGCAGGTTTATATTTTGACATTCTACTTTGAGTTAGAAAGCTTGCATTGCTTATCGTTCAACAACTGATTGGTTGCAAGCATGGTATTCATGACTGATCCTGCTGTGGCAAGTGGCTACTTGCCACTCTAGTGCCAACGAACTCCTTCAGTATGCATGATATATCGGAGCCATGTTTTGTGAGAAATGTCTTACCTGAGGACTGTTGAGGATAACTCCACGTGACTCGACTTTAAAGAAGCCCAAGATCTTGAGCCTAGGCACACCTCAAGTGCGCTTTAACAACTTTGCTTGCAACAACTGATTGGTTGCAAGCATGGTATTCATGACTGATCATTTGCCACTTTAGTGCCAACGAACTCCTTTAGTATGCATGATATATTGGAGCCATGTTTTGTGAGAATTTTTTTACCTGAGGAACTGTTTAGGATAACCCCACGTGATAATTTGATGATTATAAGTAGTAATGTTGATTGTGGATGGTATGTTGCATTGTATTTGCTTCACTACGTTTGTACTTCAACTAAACTCTTAGTAAACCCTGCGCTTGCTTAAGTTCTAGTGCATCAATCATGGTGGTAATGGTGCCAACAGTAAGATCTGTCATCAAGCCTGTTTGTTTTATATTAGTAAAATCATCGACTTCTGATCTTTAATTATGTGTTATTGTATTTTCTATTATCTATTGGAGGCTGTAGGAAGTTACAAATGCCCATTTGTAGTTTTATGCTATTGTGCATGAATTTCTAGTTCAGTTCTATAGGCTTAGAATCCATTTCTGTCTGCATATATAATTCGTGAGTTAATCAATACTAAATGATTCTCTTAACCATTCTGCTTTTCTTCCTTTTCTCACTCATTTTTGTTAGCACATATATTAAGTTATCCTGTAAACTAGAGGGAAACAGTCTTCATCTTTTTTCCATGGTTGATTTTGTGAAGCCCTGATGTTTTGTTAATGGCTGATGATTATTGTTTCTTTTTGTCGTTCTAATTACAGTATAGTTACCGTAGAGGATTGCGTGATTTCATTCCCGAAAAAGCATCATGTTTACCACAGCAGTAAAGTATCTTGGTACAAAACCAAAACCAGCAATGAAGGCAATAGAGCCTAGATTTCGGCCAGAGCAGAATCAAACCATCACAAGGGCTGTTTTTGACATCCTAAAGGAGCACGGTCCTCTCACTGTCGCCCAGACATGGGAACGTGTCCAGGTGAAGTGAAATTTTTTTCTACTTTCATTTTCTTTTTCCAATATGAAATGAGTTTGATGCCATTGATCATATTTCTTTTTTGAACTTTTCCATTTCCATGGTTGTTGAGGTTGCAATTTGTGACAACCCGTCCCACATGGATAGAAAATTAGACTTTTGAGCTTCATATAAGTTCTTGATAGAAAATTAGATTATTTCCAATATGAAATGAGTTTGATGCCATTGATCATATTTTCTTCGAACTTTTCCATTTCCATGGTTGTTGAGGTTGCAATTAGTGACAACCCGTCCCACATGAATAGAAAATTAGATTTATAAGATCAAAGTTGTAGGGGTAGTAGTTGATTTGGTGGTTATTGGGTCAGCTTGGTACTTTGGCTATAGGGCATTGCACAATTTGACAGATTATGGTATGATCTCGGACATTTTGCAGGAAGTTGGTGTAAAAGAATTGACAAGCAAGACACAGATGAAGACTGTGTTGAGATGGATGAAGGAGAGGCAGAAGCTTAAGCAAATATGCAACCATGTGGGTCCCAACAAGCAGTTCCTGTACACAACCTGGTTCACGAAACCATCGACTGTCTCACAGGCAAGATCCCAATCGAAGTCATCTTGAACTTGATGGACTGCAATGGTCGTCTATGCCCTTAGATCCGCATGATATTCTGCTTTTGTGCCTTAGAAGTATGACTTGCATGGCACCATGTTGCAGCCCAATGCAAAACAGTTTTAGAGATCAGTTATGACACATAATAAGCTTGCATTTGGATAATTGTTCCTTGCTACTCATTTTGCCTTTTTGATCTTTCCCATCTGATGCTTGGATTTTCTTTTGTTCAGTATTACTTTCTGTCTTGAAGTACATGAAATGTAATCACTCATCAATTGTAAAAGCATCTCCAACAGATTCTCTAAAATAGAGAAAATGAAAGTTTTATTCTCTATACTGTTTCAACAGTTTTTCTATAATGTTCTCTAAAACAGAAAAAAAGGGTATAGAGAATTCTCTATGATGTAGAAGGAGAGAAATTATTATTTTATTCAATTTTACCAGTGAAAATGAATTGTTATTATTTTATATAATTTTTTAAGAAAAGTGTATTTGCCTATTTGGATGATAAAATTAGAGCATATAATAATTAATATATTTTATGTTGAAATCTTTAAAATAGAGAATCGTTTCAATTGAATACAATTCTTGTTTAGAGATTTAACTTTTGATTATCTGTTTTTAAAAAATTATAGAGAATTTGTTGAAGATGCTCTAATAATAACATAACTTGTGAAAATTAGACAACATTTTCGCTATACTTTTTTTTTTAATATACGAAAGGCCCTTCATTTTCCTACCGTTATTTGCTACACAGACGGGAGTGGACCAGAGAGAGTTCAGTATATTCATAAAAGAATTGTGAAAGGTTTTAGAGTTTTAAACTTTTAATTTTATACAGGTATTTTACCAACCTTATTCATTTTTTCCATCTATTTTGGTGATTTTTGTGTCACTAAATCTTTGTTCAGGCCAAATCTATTGTTGCACCAAATTCGTGATAACAAGTTTTTATAATGTAACGTCAATTTTTATAATATAATATTAAAATACACTTTAAATAATACATTAAGTAGATAAAATCTTGAAAACACTTAAAAAAAAGCTTTAAAAACTTGTATAATAAACAGTTGTCATTTCTAACAAGATATACAAGTAGTATTTAACCAATTGCATTTTCAATTTAACATCTTTTTGTCAAAACATAAAACACATAAAACTCATGCAATTCCAAGAAATTGAAAATATAGGAAGTCTATCCACCCAAAAGTCCATTTAAATTGCATAATTTTAACATAAAAAATACAAGAAAATATTGCAAAAGAAGATGATTTTGAGGACTTGTGCCTGAGAAAACTGATATCAGATTGACTCATCATATAAATCATCAACCACTTTACATCCATGATCCAACCAACAATTTACTCTGCCTTCATTCTGGTCTACAAGTACTTAACCATTCCTCGACCCTCCACACTAAGCTTCGTAGCTTGAAGCTGCTTCTTTTTAGGTGCTTTTAATTGCTGCAACCTCTTGTTCATCTACACAGACAATACATACATAAAGAAAACCGACAAATACATCCCAACACTTGTCAGATAAGTTTTGAAGACAGACCTTCAATCGACGCTGATCTTGCACAACTTGTTTAGCTCGCGCTCTAATTTCATCTGGGTCGATCTTAGATTGCGGACGCACCACAAAATCTAGTGGCATTGCTTCAGGCCTTGATGCATGTAGTCTAGAAGAAGAATTTCCTGACTTTTGTTCCCTACATTGACCACCAAAACATCAAAACAGGAAACAAGAACAATGCCACTTTCAAAAATTAAATGTCGATTCTACCCTAAATTATAAGATGGAGAAATTCACTAAGACCTCTATTATTAAGGGTAAAATTATAATTTAGTTGGTGAAAACTGAAAACATGTGATAATTACATATTTCTAAAACCATGTCCTTTTTCATTGTGGACATGGGAAGGAAGAAAACAGATGCTTGACCAGGGAGCACCTGTAGTCTAGCAATGAAACAACTTACTGAGAATATTCAGCCAAATCCAGATCATCATCTCTAGACTGCATCCCTGAAGCTTTATTCATAGGCCTGCTAGGAAATAGCAACAGATCAGAAGAGAAGAAACACTAGTTGCACAACGTGTATACAGTTCACATGTAATTAACATTATGTTACATAGATGAATGCAAACACGCAGCTTACTTTTTCATTGATGGTCGACGGATGGGAATCCTCTCATCCTCATAGTTCCGCATGTCCTCAAATCTTGTGCTCTTATTGAATATTGGGCGACTCTGCATTTCAGGTAAGGTGTTAATGCTAATCAAGATCAACAGGCTATGGTGCCTACATTTGTTGTTAACAACTATACATGAAAAGGATGGACGGGAAAACCCTTCAGAACACAGAGTAAGATGCCAACTTATTTAGAAGAAACTGCAACAACCATCTCCAAGTGAGAGTATTATGCATGGTATAGAGAATCTTGCTATTCATGAAATGCATCTTTATGTTACCACACAATCATTGATTCGTAATGGAGGAAATATTGACATTATACGAAAGAATTCGCTTTAAAAAATGTCACATAATCAACCCTACACAATTCAATAGAAGGTGAACTATGTCTCATATCAATTATTTCTTTTTTACATTTGTTTTTACGAGCCTTTTTGGCATCTAGAGCAATTAAAGGAACCATGCGATTATTTTTTTCATTAATGAACTTGGCAACAAAATAAAAGGAACAAGGATCGTGTGATGGCAAGCAAGAGGAAAGAATTGATTGTGATGTTGCCTTCAAATAGGATGGTTGACAAAAGATGCAACGGTATGTGTGGAGGAAGAGGTGCATGGCGTGGGTGAGGCGGTTTGCAACATTTAAACAACCCGGAAACTCAATTATACGGCCGGTTTGGAAAAATCCCATCCCAACCCGTTAAAAAGTATAACCCAACCCAGCCTGTGTTGGGTTCGTTTGACGGGTTATACTATGCATACATTTTATAAAAGAAAAGAGAAATATTACTTGAAATTTACCCAACCAAAATATTGCAATCATCCAAACATATGCTTAACTATTTAACTGTTACAATCAAAATTCAAAAGTTTAAAACAAAGAAAATGCATCAAACAATCAATCAACTGCGACCATTTTGGGTTTGGCCATAATATAGTGCGTATGTAAATTTGTAATTATATAATTTATATATTATTGACACCCTATATATTAGCGTGTACATAATTATATAATTTATATTCTATCTCGGGCTTGAGGGGGACTAAGCAATTAAGATTTGCCTTTTTCCCACTATACAGTGTGTATGTGTATATAATTACGTAATTTATACATTTTTGGCGCTTTTTATATACTAGTGGCAGGTAGGAGTATGTCTAACACAATTTCAAGTTTTCAACCCTATTAATTGACGGTTTGGAGGGTTGGGTTTAATCAGGCTTTTTGAGGGGTTGGGTTGGGCAGTTTGGTCAGGGTTTTGGGCGGCCCAAGGAGAAACCATGGATATCAAAGAACTTTAGATGAGATAACTAAGAGTGAAGAGCAGGCGATCAAAGACATGATAGAAGTCTTATCTTATAAAATATTACCAAGATGCCAGCTTAGTTAAATTCTAGTTTGCATTGATTGGTAAATGGTAGCAATAACATTGCTTATTTCCCACAGCATTTTATCATATATTATTTAGTGTTCAACTCACAAGACATTCATGCTTCAGTATCCGGAGATTTTTATCCACAATCCATTTCATAGTTTGCAGATTGTGAGGACAAATGGATCTCAACATGCATATAACCTTGAAAAGATGAGGTCAAATATAAATTTCTTTACTTACCCATTTGTCAACCAAATCTTTAGCAAGCTTTCTATTGGATGTGGTCTCTTCATCAGACTTTGACAAGAACATAATGACCTGAGCAAACACAAAGATAATTTAGTATTATGTCCTATCGCCAAAAGGAAGAACAACCACCGCTATTGTTCTAAACCAAGCCCAACCTTTCCAAGTCCACTCTTCTTTAATTGCTCCCTTCTATCATATTGATCTAAATCAATCGGAAACTGCAGAATAAAATACAATTGGTTATACAAACATAAAGGCACATAATTATTGAGAGATATATCCTGGTTTATACCTCAGTCAGGATCTTCAAGATTGCTGCACGGATGTTTATATTGGGCAAGCTTCCATCTGGGAGGGGCTCAAGCCAATTTTTCAAAAGTGTTAGAACTCCATGATCCAGGAACTCTAGTTGAAGTTGTTTCCTGCATTGAAAAAATTGACAAGGCAAATGAAATAATCGTACCTAGAAAGCAGATGTACGGCTTTAGTTAAATAATGTCACTTACTTGGATAGTACTTCAGTTAGAAGAGGTAGCTTCCTGAGTTTATTAATAGCTGGTTTTGATTGCCTGTTGAGATCTGCATCTTCTTCTGCTACAACTTCAAGTTCAGCCATGACATTTTCAACAAGTAATGCAATCTCTGCAGCACTTTTCTCACTCTTCTTCTTCTTCTTACCCATCTTGAAAAGGTCCTTCATTTCATCATCTTCTTCACCCTCCTCAGCCTACATTTTTAATATATTAAGCTAAGAAGATAGCAACAGAAGGTGTAAATACATGCAACCCAAGATCCTCTAATGACCTCCGAAAGTGTCTCCTGTTCTACAAATTAGAGTAACAATGGTAGAACAGTTGCCTTCACAGCTTGACTTTTAATTGCATCACAGTTAACACTGAGAGAAGAAGAACATTCATAATTACAATATCCAACATGATATGATCATGTATATGGACAGGTTTCTAACCTGGGGAGCACGACTGGGAGAATAACCTCCATGGTCACTTCCATAACGATCAGCTGGATCGACACCGCTATCATCTATGAACTGATCATCATCTGCCATCCTTGGAACCTCTTTGTCATCCTGCACAGTTCAAAAGCAGAGCTCCATCACAAAGTGACAAAACAACTACAATGTCATCCGCAACAAATTCCATCTTTCTGAGGGATGGGAAGCCGTTCATAACAATAGAAAGCAACGTGTGCACCTTGGCAAATCCTTGAGAATAAGGAACAAAAAGGTTATATGTTCTTGTTGGTTTCACAAAATCAGAATATAATTCCAAACATCCATATCAAAAAAACAATTTCCATACAAAAAGGACTTCTACCATACTAGATGGGGGCAATCATAGAACAACTAACATCCACCTCATTCAATTATGGATCTCTTTGTCCCGAAAGAAGTCAGTTTTTTTACCTTATGTATTTTAAACCAAAGAGTAGGTGTCTGGTCTATATCTTTGACACACAATCTGCATACCTTAACAGAGTCTATAACTACAGGCTACATGGTTAAATATTCGTCAAATATACAACACTAAATCTGGCCAATGTAATGATTGAGGGAATCATATACTCATGCCAAGAAATTTGTTATGTGGTCCAATCTAAGATCTTCCAAATTATAATCAACTGAAAACTGGCAACACGTTCATACAGGAACTGAAAGTCATAAAATCAGCCCATATGTCTAGCAGCTGTGCAAGTAAAATGTACCTCTGAATCGTCGCCAGCAATTGTATCCCACATCTCCTTCACTTCTGCATCATCCCCACCAGAACGCCCACTCCTATTCACCTTAAATTTCGACCCACCTTTCTCGCTTGCTCTCCCTCCCCTATCCATAAACTTGGAAGAACTCGACTTCTTCTCCCTCTTCTTACTACTCCCACCGCCACTGGAGAACTTCTTCCTCTTCCCACCGCCACTATCCGAATCATCCCTGACGAAAGCCGCCATTTCATCCTCCACGTCATCACTAATCCCAAAATCCGGCAAGGTCTCCTCCGCCGTGCTCTTCTTGATTAACCTTTTACGAGGCTTCGACTTCGAATCAGATTCGTTGAAAACCGGCGTCGGTGACCTTTCTTGCCTACTACTCTGCCAATCATTATCTTCCAATTCATCATCGAGATTGTCATCAAGAAGATGCTGTTGTTGATTGTTGTTATCATCACCATGATCGGATTGAAATCCGTCGTCATAATCCATCAACGGTTCACCATCTTCATCGCGATACCTGAAAATTGAACAACAAAACAACACAGTTAAGGTCGTATGCATAACCTAACCCTATTAAAAGGTAAAAGAAACAAACCCTAGATTAGAGAGAGATGGAACTTACGGATCGTTCTCGTAACCCATTTTGCAAGGGAAAACTTTAGATCGCGTAAGAACTTGAGACGTGAAATATATAGAGGGATGAAGTGGAATGAAAGCAGATAGATGAACGAACAAGAAGAGAAAGAGGGGAGCTGGAGAATCTGAGCACGATGATATACAAAGAGGGAGAAGGGGAGTTTTGAGTATTAAAGAAATGTGAGGGGTAGATTCTGTAATAAGGATAATTTTGGGGGGGGGGGTAAAACGTTCAAATTTGAAATATATAAGTTGTAATCAAAGAAAAATTACGATGTTATAATCTATACTATATTATAAAATATTTAATCAAAATTTTTAAAAATTATTTTTTATAAAATAAGTATTATTTATTAATGCATATTATTTAAAATTTAATATTATAACTAAATTGTACTTGAATACAACTTATTAATTTTTCATGTTTGAATTTGTGTAACTAACTGCATATAAACATAATCAAATAAATAATAAATATCTCATTTTAAATATAACAAATCTAAAATATAATAAGAATAATCATTGAGTTTTAACAATCATTATCGTTACAAAAAATTATATTATTAAATTAAAAATGAATTACTTCGTTATTAATCCAAAATTAAATTATAACAAAAAAATATCGAATTAAATAAACTACACAAAAAAACGAGAGCTTTTAATTGGTTAAATTGATACTCATTTCGACATGTATTTTTTTTCAAATTTTTATGATATCCTAAAACGTATATTTTATTTGAAAATAAACATGTTATCATTTTTTTCAAAACCACATAAAACAGTATTATAACATTGAGAGAAACAGAGAATGAAACAAAATATAAAAATCGAGATGTATCTTGTTGCATCGTGCGATGACCCTTCTAGTAAAATAAAAAGTATGTTGTTTTTTTTAAGTATATAATATTTATATACGACAAATGCAACAAATAAATTTACACACTCTCCTCACCTATGGTGAGGTTTAAACCCCTTACCTCCTATGAGGCCAAAGAATACGATACCGCTAGGACAGAGGCCCTTTGGTTAAAAAGTATATTGTTATCATTTATATTTATACCAATGTTCTAAAAAACTCGTCTTGGTGTTGTCATAGCGCCGAGACGTAATCCTGCCTATATGTTAACCCTTTTGTGTGGATATATGTAACACCCTCGAATTTCTCCCCTCCTTCAGTCTCCTTTCCTTTTTTTTTTTAATATTTGTATGTATATGTATTTAAGTGTATTAAATTATGGGGATTTAGTATTTTTTTTTTTTTCATTTTGATTTCCTTAGTTTTAAGGGCAAAGAGGAAATGAGGGGGAGGGGGTTTATCTCTTGTACTTTGACCCAAACCCTTAGTCACTTTCCCTTAGATGGACACCTCCTTTTTGTTCTAAGTCCTTACCTGATAACCTCACCCTGGTTTTTGGATGGAAGGTCTTTATTTTGGGGGTAAAGAGAGTTCTTGGAGGGAGAGATTGGTGGAGAGGTGAAAAACCCCTGGGTGTAAACTGCCATTCGGGAGTGAAAAGGAGGGAGAAGAGCCCCTCCCACAATGCTTATTCTAAACCCTTAGAAGTATTTTCAGCTACTTATGTCAGCCACCTTAGCACCGATCATGTTCTCCTCTCTGCTGCTGTAACGCCGTGACCTTATCCAGACCCTTCGCGGTGACCATCCCGCTTCCCGTACCCGGCTGTTGCTTCTTCCGTCTGCGCGCTGTGTTACCATAATTCTGCGACCAGCTGCTACTTCCTTCCGACCTGCACGCTGCTGTGCCTGCACAGCTCTTCGCGCAGCTGCTGTTTCTTCGTCCGACCTGCACGTGGGCTGTTCCCGAAGACACGACACAGGGCTGTTCTTGTGCTCCTGCACGCTGTTGTACCTTCACCGAGTTCGCTTGCTGCTGTTTCTCCGTTCGGTTCTGCTCGCAGGCTGTTTCTTCGCTTGCTGCTGTTTCTTCGTTCGATTCTGCTTCTTCACTTGCTGCTTGGCGCTGTTGATCCCGAGGGACCAGCAGGGGCTGTTTCCTCATCTGGTGCGCGCAAGCTATTCCCGAGCCCTGCACACGGCTGTTGCCGTGCCTCTTTCTGCGCTGCTGTGACCAAGCTGTTTGGTCCTGCCTTAACCCATCTCCTAGTTCGAGTTTTGGCAGCCCCTAACTCTTCGTTGTGAGTCCACTTTTACTGTTAAAATCATTATGCTTATATTGATATTGTGTTTTATGCCTCAAGTCTTAATGCCTAGTTAAAAGTAACTATTTTAGATGAATCATATTTTGGTCGAAGGAGATGAACTCGGATGAGCCCGTTAATGAGGGAAATTGGATTGGGTAGATGGTTTTGATCACCTTAGGTAGAATAACCATACCTTTGATTTTCTTCATTAATGGCTATTTTGGTGAAATTCTTGAGTATTGATCTTGTAATCAATAATATAAACATGGTTAGATGGTATTTTGATTGTTGAAATAAAGATTGAATCCAAAATATGGATTTTAGCCTATTTAGTTGGTAAATTTGACAGCATCAAATCTACCCGAGATGCTGTTTTGAATGTGCGATAACTTCTTAACCGTAGCTCGGATTGCTACGATTCTGGACATTTTAGAAAGCTTATATRTAGGTCTAAACCTGTCCTTTAGACACTTTTTAGAAATAAGACTTCTAGGTTGGTTATATTTG